ATTATCCTCCAGCAACTGCTCAGGGCATGCAAGAAGATAAATACATCTCCCTTCTAGTTAAAGGAGAGATTCTTCTCGTCCATTTCCCCATCCAACCAGCACTGAGGCATCAGCAGGTCAGGGGGAGTTCATGGGTACTGGGAGCTCTCTGGGGAGGGGATGGATTTTGCCATTCTTGAAACAATCTGCTCTTTCAGGGGGAGGTGGTTTGGCAGCAGCAGGTTACAAACCAAGGGGTTGTAGCACTGTGTGCCACAAACAGTGTGATTTTCCCACCAGAGGCAGAGCCTGAGACTTACTGGGAGCTCTGAGTAGCCTGTCCTGCCCTGCCAAGATGTGGAGCTGAGTCTGGCAGAGCTCTCAGCTCCTGCTGTCACAGTCACCAACCCCCTCAGCAGTGGGATTTAATTAGGAAGCAGCTCCAGTGCTGCTTCCCACAGCCTGAGCCTGGTGTTTGCCCCAGGGATGGATCCTGAGGAATCACCTCCATGAGGAGCTGCATTGCTCTGAGGTGCAGGATGAAGACTCCTCCACCCTGCTCCTCCTCACCTGGGCTGCTCCTTGGTGGGGTTAGCACATTCTCAGTTTCCTAAGGAAGCTTATGAGCCCCAGCCCCTTGGTTGGCTGCCCAGCACACCTCTGGTGCAAGGAGGGCCCATGCTCACACCCTGAGCCCTTCCCAAACTGCCTTCTCCCTGTTTTTCCAGGGTTTGGCTGCTAGGAAACCAGGGCTGAAGTGGAACTGCACCCTTGTGTGTCAGAGGTTTCTGATTGCTCCACTGAGTTGGGAAAGGCAGGGGAGAGGGGACATCTGTCATGAGGAGACAGTGGGAAGCAAAACCCTTTGGTCCCTGCAGTGTCTCCAAGTGCTCCTTACCTGCCGCAGAACCCACAAGGGACTTGTGCCTGGCAGTGCCCTTGGCACTGAGTCTCTTCAACCCTGGGAGAGTGGTGGCAGGACAACTTATCTTTCCATCCCTGCAGAAAATAAGGAGGGAAAACTGCCAAGGAGCATCCAGGGAGCATGGGGAATGCAGCTATTCCCAGCTCTTCTCGCTGCCTTCCAGTGACAGAGGTGGCAGTTACTGGGCTGGTGTCCCTGTCCCATCACCTCCTCCCTGCCATGCACCTCAGCCCAACTCCCAAACTCCATGGGAAGTCTCCTGGCTGCTTTTCCCTGTGTTTTGGCTTACCCTGGGAGCACAGGAGGGATGGGTGGCACTCCTGGTACCCAACACCCTTGTGGGTGTTGAGGGCCCTGGCAGGGAAGCAGCAGGAGGGATCTCTGCCATACTCTGAGTTCAGGCCAGGCTTGTTCACTACAACTTTCCTGGCAGACTGGATTTTCCAAATGATTTGCATTTTCCAGTGTTCTCTTTGCCCCAAACCCTTGTGCCTCCCCCTGGCTTTGCTCTTGGTGTCAGGACAAAGATGCTCCCATGGACTTTGGCCAGAGTTCTCTTCAGTGACTTAATAAATCTCATCCCAAACACTCCTTGATTATCCTCCTATTTCCTCCACACATGGATTTACATGTATGAACAAAAAAAACTGGCAGGAAAGCCTTTCTGAAGTGGCAAAGCTGAGTTTTATTCCAGCTACAATTCCAGAGGGGAGAACAGTAACACTGCCTGAGGGGTCAGCCCAGGAGTTGTGGATGCAGCACAGGAATTCACTAAGCACCAAGTCACTTTGCAATTAATGAGGAGGCCAGGACAGCTGCTGGAACGCTGCTGGCTCAGGTTTGGAGTGTGTTGGAGCAGTGTCTGTGCTGGAGGCATCTGTGGCTGACACTGCTGGCAAGTGTCTCCTCTGAATCAGCCTGTGCCCCACCCAGCCCCACACCACCACGGGATCACTGCCTGCCCTGCTCCAAAGCCCTGGGCAAACCCAGCCTCAGCTTTTCCATGGGCTGCTTGGACAGCCCAGGCTAAAGCTGAACTCCAGGCGGCTGAGGAGAGCCCCGGGGGCTGGGGAGAATCCTTGGAGATGGGGAGAATCCTTGGGGCTGGGGAGAATCCTTGGAGATGGGGAGAATGCTTGGAGATAGGGAGAGCCCTTGGAAATGGGGAGAATCCTTGGGGCTGGAGCAGAGCTCTTGGAGCTGGGGAAGGGAGAATCCTTGGAGATGGGGAGAATGCTTGGAGATAGGGAGAGCCCTTGGAAATGGGGAGAATCCTTGGGGCTGGAGCAGAGCTCTTGGAGCTGGGGAAAATCCTTGGAGATGGGGAGAATCCTTGGGACTGGGAAGAATCCCTGGAGATGGGGAGATCCCCTGGAACTTGGGAGAGCCCTTGGAGCTGAGGCAGAGCTGCCTCCCTTCAGCCCTGGGATGCAGGAGGGAAAATCAGGCACGGAAGAAGGGTAAATAAATCAAACTCCACTACGCTCCTGGTTGGAAGAGTGGAGAGTTCTGGCACTGCTGGAGTAAACAGTGACTTTGTTTGTTTAATTAGGCACTAATAGATGTGCAAACAGAGCTGCTGGTCGTGGCAGGACAAACTTGAGGGATTTGGGCTGGAAGAGGCTTTCCCCACGTGCTGCCCCACACAAAACCTGTCCCAGACACCCTCTGAGCTCCCTCACCCCTCAGAGCAGGAGCTGCTGAGGATGCTCTGCTCGATATCATCTCCCAAACGACTCAAAATACATGGGAATCTCCCTTGGAGCTGCCACAGTCCCACTCCCCTGAAGCCAAGAGAAATGCCACTTACCTGCCCGTGCCTGCCATCCCTGGGGGGGCACAGAGCCATGCTAGAGGGCAGGGGCAGGGAGTGTCCTGCAGTTATTCCCCCCCGATGTTCTCGGCGGTCCCAGCGACTCCTGCTTGGAGTCGCACATGTTTTCAGAGCCTCCTGGCATCTGCAGCTCAGAGCAGTGGCTGCACAACAGGAAATCCTGGATTTTGTTTCTCTTCTCCACCACAACCGTGGACAGTTAATGACGTTAAAGCCGCTGGGAAAGGCGATGACGTCGTTTGGTCCAACTGCCGTGGGATGGAGACCTCGGAGCTCTGTCCTGCTCCTCTTTGGGTGGTGGTGGTGGCTGTGTCCTTCACTCGAGCTGCTTCTGCTCTTCTCCACAGTCACTTGCTTGCCAAAGGCTCTAAAATACAGAAGTAAACCCTTCCAGGCAGTGCTTGCAGAAGGAAAACTGAAAACCCTGCCAGGGTGAGTTACTGGAAGGGAGTAATTTTCCTTCATTTTTTTTTTGTAAGCTTGGTTAGCCTCAGCCTAGCAAAGCTCCAGACTGAGGTTTTGGACTTTATTCCTGATGGCAAAGGTGGAGATTTTCCCAAAATACTGTTGTTTTAAAAAACCAAACCCATCAAGTGCACCATTCCCAATTCTTTTCCATCCTTTAATTCCTTTTCTATTTATATACACATATATCTGATTTTTAGCTCTTTTACTGCCTGCTAAGCATGACCTTCTTTCTGCATTGCTGAGCACTGCAGGAATTTATTGGAGTGGAACTTCTGAGGTGCCTCAGTTCCAGCTGAACAGTTGGACCTGATAACCAGAGTCACATCTCATGGCCTAGCACTTGTACAGATCATTTGGCTCTTGGTGTCTTTCCCTTCCTTGCCGTGGGTTATATATGATAGAAACATTCATGTTCTGGTCATTAATTTTCTGCCATTGATCCTATGACCCCCCAAAACTTACAGGAACACAAGTGTGGAAGAGAAATGAGAGAAGAAAGGTGTTATAACCTTTAGCTGGAGAGTAAATTGTCAGCTCAGGCTCTGGGGTCAGTGCACCAAGGTTTCTCCATGCTGGCAGTGATGCCAACCACGGGGACCTGAGTGCACTCCCATGCCAAGAAATCATGGAGTACTGGAATGGTTTGGGTTGGAAGGACCTTACAGATTATCCCATCCCCCCCCCTGCCCTGGGCAGGGACACCTCCCACCAGCCCAGGGTGCTCCAAGCCCCATCCAACCTGGCCTGGAACACTCCAAGGGATGGAGCAGTCACTCTGTGGAAAATAAGCATTCACAGAGTCATAGAATGCCAAACTGGTTTGGGTTGGAAGGACCCTAAAGCTTAACCAGTCCCACCCTCTGCCACAGGCAGGGACACCTTCCAGGTTGCTCCAAGCCTCACCTAACCTTGAACACATCCAGGGATGGAGCAGCCACAGCTTCTCTGGGCAACCTGAAGCTTTAT